CCATCCCCCCCCCGCCCCCGCCTGCCCGCCCCCGCCTGCTCGCACNTGCAGGTCGGAGTCGGTGTCGCAGAAGGCGATGACGGGGATGTTCATGTAGGCCGCCTCCTTGATCGACTGGTGGTCGGTGCGGGGGTCGGTCACAATCAGCAGGCGAGGCTCCTCAAACCCCTTCTGGATCTGGTTGGTGAAGGCGCCTGCGGGGCGCGGGGGCCAGGGGGTGGAGCGGGCAGGGGCTCAGGGCGGAGCGGCGGACGGGCCAGGCAGGCGCAGAGGTGGGTACGGCAGCAGGAGCCGGAGGGTGGCCAGCCCGCTGCTCCAGCCGAACCGCGGTGGCATGCGCGACCCACGGCTGCTTGCGCTGGCAGCGCCGCGGCTGCTGCTGCTGGCCGGCCCTGCTGCACCACTGCAGCCTCCTATTCTGTGCTGTGCATGCTGTCGGCTGTGCGCCGCCAGCAGCAGGCATGGGCCGAGGACTGCTCAGCCTCGGCATGCCGCCTGCTGCCCACACCATGCCAGCCTGCCCTCACGGCATCCTAGCTGCCGCGTGCTGCGCGATCCCTATCTGCTGCAGCTGGCACGAGAGCCTGCTGCTGCTGCTGCTGCTGCCACGCCCACGAAAAGCTGGCATGCTTCTCGCTGCTAGCTGCCGCCATGCCGACGTGCCGCGCCACACCCGTGAACGCAGCGGCTGCCTGGCGACGGCTTCGCATGCAGCAGGCAGCGGCGCGGCAGCAGCAAGGCAGTGGGCGACAGCCGCAGCAGGGCGGGGCAGGGCAGGGCGGCAGCAGGGCTGGCGGCGCACCGGGGGTGTGGCGGCCCACGGTGGCCTTGGCGCCAGAGTAGTGCGCAAACTTGAGCACCGCGCGCTGGCCGTAGGGGCGGGCCGAGATGGCCACAATGTCCTGCGGGTTCTCAATGGCCACGATGATGCGCGCCGCCAGCTGCAGCTTCTCCCAGGTCTTGGCCAGGTTGAAGACGAAGATGCCGTCGTTGCGGCGGCGGTAGACGTAGCGCTCCATCGCCGCGGTGCAGTTCTTGGTGCCTAGGTGCGCCTGCGGCGGGGAGGGGCCCGCGGGCCGCCCTGTGAGCGCCGGGTGCGCCCTCCAGGCTGCCGCAGGCCGGCTGGCGAGTGCAGGCGCGGCGATGGGGTGGCGCGCATGGACGCCATGCACGCCCCCCTTCCTGCCAGCCGCTGCAGGCGAGCCCTGGTGCTGGTTGGGACATGTCCGGCGCAACAGCCACACCAAGGCCCCACCTGGCTGGCCAGCAGCATCTGCACATCGTTCTCGCGCTGGTTCAGCTCCGCCATCGTGCCTGGTGGACCCCAAGCACGTCCACAGGGGTTGAAGAGGCCTGCGGCGTCGGGAGGTGCCACTCTTGGGCGGGGGCTGCAAAAACCTGGGTCCAGCCTGCCCAGGCATGAGTGTGCCCCTTGGCATTGGCCGATCGCCTGCTGCAGGCGTTGTGTGCCCATGCCACAGGCGCTGACATCGATCCGCGGCTCCCTCAGGCCGCCAGGCGCCCTCACGACACAGGCCCGCCCGCGCTTCTGGTTCAGTCGGGCTCCTGATCGCCTGGCTGCCCCTGGGGGCCCCGGCACGCGGCTGACAGGCCGCTGCGCTGCAGCACCGATCTCAGCGCTCGAGATGGCGATAAAGCTGCCCTGGCTGAGCGAAGAGGAATCCTGGGCCCTCCTGCTCACCACCTTTGCGGGGCTCAGCACCACAGTGGGCGCCGTCTTTGCGGTGGGTGGTGTTTGGAAGGCGGCTGGGTCGGGGCAGAGGCCAGGGCCCCGCTGCCGCCATCGACACTTCCGCCTGCCGCTGCCGCCTGACGCCCGCCGTGCGGCTTGCGCCTGCCCATGGAGCAGGTGATCAAGCAGCCCGACGATGCATTGCTGGCATTCCTGCTGGGCAACGCCATCGGCGTGATGTTTCTGCTTTCGGTGGCGGAGATGTGAGCGGCGCGCTGCGGGTATCCGGCGTGCGGGGGCGCCCGCATCGCTTCGCAGCTCGCCGCAGCCACGGGCAGCCAAGCACCGGCGCCTCATTGCGATGCCCAGCCTGCCGCTCCCTGTGCCGCAGGTGGATACACAACGCCATGACCCACGGCTGGCCGGAGATCACGGTTGCCTTTGGGCTGGGCGCGCTGCTGTACCAGGTGGCGCAGCCCTTCATCCCCGACTTTGGCAGCCACCACCACGACCCCGACCATCCGCAGAGCGCGATAGACAAGGTGTGCGCGGCGGCGCTGGGGCGCTGCGATGCGGCGCCTGCCGTGGCGTGGCAATCCAGCGCAAAGTTGCGGTCACGTGCCTGCTCTGTCGCTCGCTGCCCACCGCTTCCACAATTGCTCCCGCCCTGCCGCCGCCCCCGCCACCTGCCTGCAGATGTTTATGGACGAGAGGTCTGTGCCGGTGCCCATCATGGGCAGCCCCGGCAGGGTGGAGCGGCAGGACAGCGCAGGCAGCCAACCAGAGCGGCGCGCCGCGGCACGCAGCGCCGCGGGCGCGCCGGGCAGCATAGCCATGGCAGACGCGCTGCCCGATAGACAGCACCTGCCGCGGCCAAGCAGCAGCGGCGGCAGCAATAGCAGCGGCGGCATGAACGGCAACCATGGCGGCTCGTGCGTGCCGCGCATGCGGCCGCGGCAACTACTTAGACTTGGGTGAGCCTGTGCCATGCCCTGATCAGAGGAAGCCAACCCAGCAGCGTGCGGAGGCCACGCAGTTGCCGTCGGGGGCTGCGCCGGCCCACCCTGCGCCTCCCCGCCCTGCGCTCACCCACGGGCTGCCGCCTGCCCGCCCGCAGGCTTCTCATGGCGGTGACCATGACGCTGCACAACCTGCCAGAGGGCTTTGCGGTGGCCTTTGCCGCCTTCACCGACTTTGGGCCCATCATGGCGGCGGCCATCGCCATCCACAACATCCCAGAGGTGCGGCGCCCAATGTCTCCCCGTTTTTGCATCATCGAGATGCGTGGGGCGTGCAAGTGGCACCCTCATGCCGCCGTGCCTACGCGTCGCATGCCGCCGATGCCCGCCTCCCCGCCCGCCCGCGCCGCAGGGCGTGATTGTGGCGGCGCCCATGTATGCGGCGACGGGCAGCCGGTGGAAGGCGCTGGGCCTGGCCACGGCGTCTGGGCTGTCGGAGCCGGTGGGCGCGCTGCTGGCGCTGCTGCTGGTCAAGCCGTTCCTCACCGAGGCGCGCCTGCACTACATTCTGGGCTTTGTGGGCGGCCTCATGGCGGCGGTGTCCCTGCTGGAGCTGTGGCCCGAGGCCAAGCGCTGCCACCACGACCGGCGCATGGCCTGGGGCATCGCCGTGGGGGTGGTGCTCATGGGCGGCACGCTCTTCTACGTCTAGGCCAGGCCTGGCACCCAGCCGCGCGCGCCGCCGCCACGTGGCATGACCACACGTGAATGAACCGCGGCGCCCCTGCTGCGCACATGACATACAGCCTATTTGTTCTGTTGATCCCCTTTTTGTTGTGGTGGGAAGCGAGCGGCACGTAGCATGCTGGCAGGCCCCACGTGTGCCTGCCTGCCTCCTTGCCTCCCGCTTCAGTGTACACTACCTGTCCCCTTCCTCAGTGTACCTTTTTGCCAATTATTCCTTCTGCTCGCTCTCACCTCTGCATGTTCCTATCCCATCGCGACGCTACTGCCGTTTGTCTCAACGTCTAAAGCTTGTGCGGCGGTGCCGCCGCCGCCGCTGCCGCTCCCCAACACTGCACACGGCTGTATTCGAGCTTCACTTCACAGCGCGCTATTGGGGAGGTCACAGCGTGCTATTGAGCTGGCTGGGTGCGGTGCATTTGTCTGCATTGCATACGCCGCCTGTGAAGGAATCGGGCCGGCTTTTCCGACGCCTTCTGAATCCAATTCCTTTGTGGAGGCCCCACAGGAGCAGGCAGCAGCGTTGCAGAGAATGGGCGACTCCCAAAGGGTGGTGGGCGTGGATGCCATCCTTTCGAACACTGTCATGCCCCTGAATAAGACCAAGGTGGGGTATGGCGGCGGGAAATGCGCAGCGGGGCCGTTCAGCGCCCCGGGCATGAGCCGGCGAGGTGCTGCCGGCAGCAGGGCAGCTCGCATGGGTGTGTGCAGACCCCACAAGCGAGGCACACGCCCGCCCCTGCAAGCTGGCACCGCCCGGCGGCGCCAGGGCGGGGTGGGGCTGCCGCCGTGGCGGGTGCCCTAGCCGCGGGTCAAGCCCTGCCCGGCGGCGCCGCCTCTGACCGTGCCTCCCTCCCCGGCCGCTGCACCGTGCTGCAGATCATCTGCACCCTGGGCCCAGTCAGCCGCGAGTGAGTGCAATGCATTCAGCCTGCATGGCAGGCGCCTCTGCTGCCGCCTGCCTGCCCTGCCGCCGCCGCCGCCGCCGCCGCACCTGTTGACCTTCCGCCGCCGCCAGCGCCTCGCCTCGCCTCCCTGCTCCCCACCCACCTCCCACCTGCTCTCCACCCTCCACACCCGCCGCCCTCCTTCCTCCAGCCATGCCCTGAGCCCCTCGGCCGCTGCCCCGACCCCCCAACACCTCATCTTGCTCCTGAACCACCCACCGCCGCCCCCCCCGCTTCCCCGCCCCGCCCCGCCCGCAGCGTGCCCACGCTGTGCGAGATGCTGCGGTGCG